CACTGCACTAGGTGCTTTATATTTGTTATGCTCATTTAAATCTCATTATCAACTTGGTATGGTAGACTTCATCCCTATTTAAAGATATGAAAACTGGGGTTCTGAAAATAAGCAGCTAGCCTCATCCCATAAAAAATAATGTATAAGACTTATTAAGTTATTAATATAAATAGGTACTATAGTTACACTTGTCATGTAAACTTCTAGCTAGTAAATGGAAGATATATGAATTCACCTTGACTCTGACACCAAAATTTGTGTCCTTCCCTGACTCCTAATCTAGATTGTCCAACCATCTCTCTCATTAATGGTCAAGGAATGGCATTAAAAGAGAGATTAAATAATTTACCCAAAACAATACAATTATTTAACAGTACCAGAACAACAACAAAAAAATTGTTTCCTGACTTCTGTACTAATACTTTCCACTCTGAATGCCATTTTACTTCTATGTCAGCAAAGGAAACCACCAAGTTAGATGGCTCTGCTGGGCAGTTAATTGTGTCTGGTTTACCTCAGCAGGCAAGGTAGAAGCCCTTAGGCAGATGCAGAAGCAACTCCTCAGACCTCTTCTGGTGTTAAATTCCCTCTTTCATTAAATTCAAAGATTCACTGAATCAATAAGCACTGTTTTCATCATTTCCATATTCACGCATTAATGACTAATAACAGACTTACAAATTACTAATAGAGAACACTTCATGAAAGTTCTAAACTGAGCAATTTTTTTTAGAATCCCTTATTTGAGTAGACTTCAAGCTTTCTCCCAAATCACTTTCTCTTTTAAAAGTGTGAGGAATTAGGAAAGCAGGGCAGTCAATGTTTCCTGTGTGAGTTAACTGCATTAACTGCTTTTTCAATTTTCGCTCAAGTTTTCTCTCTAACTTGAAAACCATTTTCCAAAAAAGAATAACATTCTTTTAGCACTTCCCTAGAATTTCCAATGTCATGGAATTACATGAATGCTAAGAAGCTGGCTTTCACTCTGGAAAATGTGAAATTTAAATTCACAGCAGATCATGATTATAAACTACCATGTTTCATGGATTACCAAGGTAGTGTTCATATAGCTGAGGAAGTGAATATTATTTAAACAGAAGTCTGTAATGGCCCCTGAAATAATCTAGTCTAGGGCAGTTAAGAAAATTTTCTATTAGGAACTTACTCATTTTAAGTGCTAAAACTTCTTAGTTCAACCAATTTAGGCAAAAATCTTTTTTATAAAATAGATTTCCTTTACTTGTTTGGTAAACTGCACATCTTGACTATAACTTTTTCTTATCTACTATCACCATTAAGAACATCAAATTAATAAACAGTGATGTTTTTGAGTTATAGATAACTTATCATTAAAAGACCTCAAAGTGCTTATGTTTCTAATTAGTATTTCTTTAGTCTCTTCATTTTCAATCATCACTTTTATTGATATCACGGTATGTCCTTCAATCAGCTATCACAGTACTCCAATATAAAAATTAGGACAAGGCTAAAGGTTAGCAAATGTGCCATTATCTTCTAAAGAATAAATTGACTTTATATATGCTACCTCTTCTACAAAGTAGGCTAGATTTTATGTTTTTTTACTTTCTTCTTGGTTAGAGGTTGTATTTTAGATATAAGGCTGCCAACAATCTGTCAAATAAGTAGGATAGGGATTTAAAAGGAACAGCTTACAGGTGCTTAGCAGGTAATGTGAGTTAAGGAAGAGCACCAGATGTGAGGACTAAGCCCCATCTGAAGGAGACAGTAACTACTCAACTATAGATTATTTTTCTCAGAAACACAATTCCAGCACTGCCCAATCTTCTATTTTTCAAGAGATGAGACATCCACATTTTTGTGTAAAATCTGACAACTTTAAATTTTGACAACTAGAGAAATACGGCAGTGGCTAAAAGATGAAATAAGTCTGTTGGCTGCCAGTTTGTGGCCACTAAAAGAAAACTATACTGTTAAGATTCATTCTCATTTGTATTGAAACAGAAAACTCTAGGCCCTGTATTCTAGTCATCTTTTCAGAGAAATTATTTTCGTCCTGTATATTTGGAGAACTCAGCCAGACAAGAACTGAAACATTTCTCCCACTCCTCTGTGTAATGTAAACATTCTATATTGGCTAATTTATTTAGAGTAAGACCCAGTAGTAAATATATTATATTACCAAACTGATATACTTTATCAGCACTTCTTGCTTCTGAGCATAAGTTATATGAGAAATTTCCCACTTTTTAAAATACCACATTCCCTGATCCAGGCACATTTGAGAAAGTATATGACATCTGAGAAGCAAGTGAAGTGAAAAGCATTCAAATATTACTGGAAAATTACCATGCCAGATATTTGTGGAGTATTTCATGGTACTATTCAGAAATATTATGTAAACTGATCCTCAGCATATCCTTGCCAAAATAGATAGGAATTTCCCCATTTTATAGATGAGGAAACAAGAGTCAGAAAATGGGATACATCAGCACTATAAGAAAAATGTAACAAAAACAGAATTCGCATTTAGGTTTGAACTCTTGGTCAATATTCTTTCCACTATCTGAACATTTCCCTTAAAGGCCTATGCTAATGAAACGGTTTATGAAAAAGGGTAAACAAATGGAGAGCACAAGAAGTGACAAAATATTAACATAAAATTTCAATTATCCAGCTCTCAGATTTTTTTATGCTCTCAATGATTCAACATAATAGCTAACCTGAAATTTAGCATAGAAAATCTTAAACTATCACCAATCCCAAAAGTAATAATCCCAGTAGGGTTTATGCTCACATTCACAAAAATGCAACATGGCACTGAAAGAATTAGCAATAACATCCTGAGTAACCAGAGTGTTCGTTTCCCCATGTACATATAATAATCAGTACAGTCAACATGTGGAGGATGGAAATAAATCTTATAGTCCACAATGGAAGGCAAAAAGAGTGGATCATTAAAATTTCCCTGAGGTTCTACTCTGAAGATCAACAAAAGTTAGTCAATAATTTCAACCAAGCCAATTTTTCTCCAGCAGTAAAGAATATCAAACCAAGTACATGGCTCCCATTGTATGAAATTTTTGAAACAGTGAGCTATTTTTACTATGAAAGGCATGAAAATATAAGAGTGATTAAAGTCACAGCACATTCACTTTTCTACGTGATACTTCAGGGCACAACCTTACTGAAAGGCATGATGGATAGAATTTCTCACCCATACTGAATTTCCTCTCCTTTTTCTCTTTTAGGAGATTTACATAAAGTATTGCTCGGATTATTACATTAAAAGTCCCAACAACTTTACAAAGTAAGGTAATGAAAGTGAAATAAATGCACTAATAAAGCTGTTGAAACTGAGCTAATGATTCCAACTATATTTTGGGCCTCTGAACACTAAGTTAGAAAAAAACAATTATTTTATTTAAAAAAAAAAAAACTAAAAACAGGCGTAAACATAACTTCGTGGCAAGGCAGCAATTTTAAACTGTTAAATTATGTAAATATAGATCTTATACTATACTTTCATGAAAATCAAAAACGAACATAAAGAATATATGTCCTAGAATGCTCTTCAAACTGAATTCCAGTCCGTTAGCACCTGGAGCTTTACAAACAAGTGACCTAGATCCTACACTAATATAAGATCATAACTGTCATATGTCATCTAGTTTCATTCAAACTTTTGTTTTCATCATAACAACCTAATTGTTCTTATTTACTAAACTTATAAATAAATGTTATAAATTTACATTATAAAATAAGTACATAGTAGTTAAATACCACCTGTATCCCTTTTCATATAATGGGGTCCTTCATAAGAATTTAATGTGTAAAAAGTTGCTGTTTTTTAAAAGTTGTTATATTTAGAAAGTTCAAAACTTACTGTTTTATGTCATATTAGTCAGGGATATATTCATAATACTTTACTGACACAGCTAGAGAAATGTATCATACCATTAAAAAAAAATTTCAAAAGATACTGTGATTTAAAAATTAGTCCTAAAAATGTAACTGTTCTGCAATCTGGAATATGTGAATAAGAATATAATTCTACCTTACTGGGTCACTGTGGACTTACAATATCTCAATAAATGTTTTCTACTTCAGACCCAATGTTAAGAAACTTTTTGAAATTTTTGAAACTAAATTTACAAAATCGCTGAGTTATACTACTTTTAAATATAACACAGGTTTAAACTAAGACTAAAGTGGACATCAACAATTAATATCAGTTAATTAAAACAATTTAGTATTTACTTCGGCTTTGTTGCATTAGAAAACATTAGCTATAAAGAAAAGGGTATTGAGACCTAGAAGATGTGAACTTATTTCTAAATTAAAATTCTGCAACTGAATGTCAATTTCAGCAAAAAGTAATTAGGATAAAAACTTAGCACCATTAAAAATGTGAAAGAGTTGGATGGACAAAAGGAGGCAGCACAATGAAAAATAATTGAAATCCACAGTACAAAAAGTCTAAGTATTAAAAAAAAAGTTCTTTCTGTAATCATAATTCATATTCAAAGAATTAACATTCTTTCCAGAAGCTACCAAACAATACCTCCAAAAAACACACATACACACACATATACATATACACAAAAAAAACAAGAAAAATCACACTCTTCGTGCAAAACAAGGCTTAATTATGGCTTCTTTTTTTAAAAAAAATCTATTCATATTAATATATTGTTTTTAATTTCTACAAATAAATATCAAGCAAACTAAAATATCCAACATGAAAGGAATATTAAGTTAATTAAAGCCAGAAAAGCACTACTGTGGTGATCAAATGTTCTGGCAATGACAGAACATAAGATGGTGAGAAATTACAGGAATTTAACCTTTGACCTCACCATCCTACGCACTGTTTCCATAATAGAGGCTTAAAGGTTCTATCAGCAAACATTTCAACTTCCTAGCAAGCAAGCTCTAAGTTCACCTTCCTATGTAAACTCAGTAAAATTCCAATGTTTTTTAATTAAAATGTTCAAAAATAAACAGTAATTGGTTCTTACCTCTGGTCTTGATGCATGTGACAAGTCTCCACACTGGCATAGTTGCTGCCTAAGCAGCTACAAAGACTAGGTTAGCAGCCATTTTGAGACAGCTGCAATGTCTCAGTTGCACTAAAGTGTAATTAAGATGGCTGCAATGTGCACTCAAGAACTCACACAGTGAAAACTCAGCTATGTATCAAACAAAGCCCCTCCCACTTTGTCAGCCTGCAGGAAACTGAACACAGACAACAGCTAATGCATATACTGCAACAAACAATGCAGCTACTCAGGGCACAGAAAACAGAGAAGGCAGCAAGCCAGTTTTGTAACATAATGCCTGTGAGTCCCGACTTGCAATACAGACTTTGAGCACATCCAGATCCCAGACAGCTTGAAGTCCACGCCACATATTAGCAGTTACAGAGATGGAGCCAAATCACACACAGCAAACATCAGGGAATTTGCTTGAAAGAAAGCCTCCATTTCAGTCCAGAAAAAAAGTCAAACTCTGCTCAAGGCCTTTTTAAAAAAATCTTTTGTAGTATTTTTACCACAAAAAGAATGCCAATTTTTATAATTTCTGGGAAATTTAACTGTTTAAATCCTAATAGTCAATTTCCATTTATAGAAGAAGGCTAGTTAAAGATTTTTTCCACAGAATCTAAGCCCCCAAAGTGCTCAAATCTAGCAGAATGGTTAAAATTGCAATCAAATATTTGACTCTTGACAAAAATTTTAAATAACTGCTAGCGAGGGACTAGAGTCATTAGAACTATGATGGCAACAAAGCTTATTTTGAGTAATCGGTCACATACAATTTCTTCACTTTTGTAGTCCAGGTGGTCACAAAGACATCTCCAGGTGAGTGGTCCCAAGGCAAATTAAATTTCATGCCCTGCCTCAAACCTCCCAACATTTTGATATGGGTGAAAAGCAAATAAAAATAAAGAATGTGGACACTCCTGGGCAAACAATTAGGGAGACTAAAAGGGTAAAATTCAGTCTGAAAGTGGGTCTATTAACAAGATAAATTTGAGACTGATCCCAACAAAAGTGTCTTGGCAGTAGCCTAGCCATTAAAAGAAGGGAAAGACAAAAGCAGAGAAAGAACCTGTTTGCTTGATAACTCATATAGCTAGGAAATTCACCTTTTCCTTCTCTCTTCCTTGGTTTACATTCCTAAAACTTGGCTGCCCTGTACTATTTTGTCTCAATCCACCACTTGATCTAAGTATTTATTAAAACTTGTTGAGGGGTATGGGGGGAAGTAGAAGTATAGCTAAAAGGAGACTGGCCCCATAAATTGATGATTGTTCAAGCTGAGTGATGGGCACACAGAGTCCGTTATTTCATTCTATTTCTGTATATATTTAAATTCTTCCATAATAAAAGTTAAAAATTCCTCAGCTTTTAAATGGTATTTATTTTCCAGGAGGCAAATTGGATAATGTATATAAAAACGGCTTTAAGTACTTTATCAGAAAAAAAAAGCTATACTTGATCCAAGTCACATTAATTCTTCAAAAACACAACTGATACTTAGGTGGCTCAAATCTATTGGTTAAAAGAGCGAGCCTGGTAAACTGGGAAAGATTCAAACAGAACAGACATTACTGTAGCACTGGAATGTGATTAAGGTTAATGTGGATGCAAATAGCCAAAACATTTAAAGCTGCCTAATGAACAGCTTCTGATATTCAGGAAGCAAATTCTTTTGGAGATCTGTTCCACAAAAAATTAAATTATATTAACACACCTTCAAATGTCCTATTCATGATTCAAACTAAATTATCTTATTACTGACAATCCTTTTCTTACTCTCCTTTCTCCTCACTATGCCCATCCCCCAAACCAAGTGTAACTGCTCTCTCAAGATCTTTTGATGCATACCATCATTATATTTACCATTTCATTACTTATATCTTTATCTCTTTATATCTTTATATCTTTATAAGTAATGAAATCACATCTTAATTCATTTTCCAATCACTTCCACAGTGTGAAACAGTGTTTATTTGCTCAATAGATGGTAAGTTGAAAGATTTCCAGTGTTTTTGTTTCTACCACAAAAATCTCTGAAAATTCTATATATTTAAGAACCTTCATTTTTAGGATCTCATCTCTTTCTTTCTAGAAAGAAGAATAAGTCAACTAATAAGTTAACTAAATTTTTAGTCTTGGCCTAAAAACTTCTGCACTTAAAAACTGAAGATGGAAAAAATACTCTTTGTGGGGCATTTTTCAGTTTTTAGTGTTTTTACAGGCACTACGTAGAAGCTACTACGCACTTAGAAGAACTGAACTCTAAAGAAAGTCTAAAGAAAATTATATAACATAAGTATATTATTTGCCTTTAAATTCTTAATAATACTAAGAAAGTATATAGCTTGATAATGTCATAGGTTATAAAAAGTTTGTTTTTGATAGGGTGAGTCATAATAAAACTATCATTGTTTATTTGTAAAAGCAAACATATTTGGAAGATATTTCTAATGTTACACATTTCCATGATTATGAAATGTTTTATCTCTTCCTAAATAAAAACTAGCACTTTTCACATAATTTTTTCATTTCACTCTTAAAATGACCATGTAAAGCAAGAGTCCTGTAATCTCCAATTCTTATGACCAGAGAATGTAATCATTGGCTGGGGCCACACAGGTAGTAATGAAAAAAACCAGAAAAAATTAATCCTAGTCAACTACTATACTTTTTATATATCATATATCACACTATTAGAAAGTTTCCATACATAAAATATTGAAAAATCCGTAGAACCTAAATAAAAGGTTTCACTGTATTAGATAGGAAGTAAATATATTTTTCATTTATTTAGTATACTTTAATTACACAAATTATTATCAACATAATACATATTAAAATAGAAAAGGGGAGTGACATCAGAAACATGGCAGAGTGAGAGGCATCCCCAGATCTCTCCCCTTGAAACAACAATAAACTGAACATCTAAAATTCAACAAAAAACTCCCAAAATGCACACCAGCACGTCTGAGCGTGGGATCTGCGCATAAGAGCTACCACAGAAAAAAAGAAAAATAAATAAATGAAAGAAAGAATAAATAAAAGAGAAAAAGAACCCTAAAAGGATATTAAGATGGTATACCTAATTTCACTCCCTCAAATCCTATTAAAACTACAGTAGAGATTTTTTTTGAAGCATAAATCCTCAAGAACAGGAAGAAAAGTAAAAGAGACTATAGCTGGAAAGATTTTGGGAAGCTGAAAAATAAGCAGACCACTGGCAACTAACTTAGCAGTTCCCAAAACATCATATTCCAAGATACACTGGGGACAAGTAAAGAATCAATTTGATTCACCTGGCAACTTCAAAAAAAAAAAAAGAGGAACTAGAAGTAGGCACCTTTGCAAATTGGAGTGAAGGGAGCAAATGGTAGGATGATGTGACTAAAAAAGGGAATACTAGTGAAAGCTGTGTAGCAATAAGATTCCCTAGATGCCCTCATCACATTCCACTGGATATCTCCTCTCCCCAATTCTAACAGAAGTCTAAAAACAACATCTACAGTTAAAAACAAGAGTAGCATACCAAGAAAAGAGGATTTTGTGCTGACTACAGAGACTCTTAGTCTTCTTCCTCCATTAATCTCCCAGAATACTGGCATTCAGACCCTGATTTTCCATGTATAGAAATGGAAGGCTATTCTCTGGAGGTATCTAACAAGCCCAAGAGACAAGATCTTAAGATCTTGGGAGCTCTCCAAACATAGCTGATCCAGATCAGCCTATAGTAAAATTAAAAACTCACAAATTTAAATATTCTAACCAACTTTTAAATATTCCACAATAGGCAGTCAGACAAGGAAAAGAAAGGCAACTAAGAAAAGTGTAACCTAGAAGACATGTTAAAAAATGAAATAAAATTTAAAAAACAAGCAATACTCAGGAAGAAAAACAACAAAAAAAAAACCATTAATATCTACAGATAAGAAAAGATATTGCTTTCATGTGTCAAAAGTACAGAACACTATAAGCAAGAAATGAAACATAAATTAAGAACATGATAGAAAAAATAAAAAATTCAGTAGAACTGAATGATAAAGCTGAAGAATTCTAAGCCAAAAAAGAAAGTTGTAAATAAGAAAAAAATAAGAAAACTGGAGTACCTATCCAAAAATTTGCGTTGGTATGACAGAACAGTAGAAGAATTATATCACCAATAAAAACATTTAAGAAAAATTTCCAGGTCTGAAAGGCAAGAGTTGCCAAACTAAAGAGCCCGATGAATACCAGCCAAAGATAAATTTTCTGAATACTGGAGATTAAGATTCTACAAGCTTCCAGTGACGAGAAAATCAGAAATAAGAATGGCTTTATATTTTTCTCAGTAGTAATAGAAGTAAGAAGGTCATGAAACACAGCCTTTAAAATCCTTAAGAAAAATAATTTCTAACCTAGATTTCTATACCTAGCCAAACTATCAGTCAGCAAAATATAGAATGACAATTTTCAGACACATAGTCTCAAAAAAAAAACCTCCTGTCTATTTTCTCAAAAAGTTACTAGACAACATGTTCCCCTCCCTCTAATGACAGTAGTCAATAAAAATACATGACATATGGAAAACAAGGGTCCTACACAGAAGAGGCGTGAAGAAAATCCCACAACGGTGGATAAAGTTCTAAGGATGACAATGATGTGCCAGATGTAGAGAGCAACTACGCTAGACTGGAGCAATGAGACTCAAGAAACAAACATGAGGTCAGGATCCTTGCTGCCCCCCCTATATTGGAGAGAAAAAAAAAATGTCTTCTAAAAAATCAGAAGATCCTTGCTAAATGACTATACCAAATCATCTTAATTATCATTACATGAAAGAGACTCATGTATACAGGCATCCTGGTACAGTTAACATTACCTTCATGAATCAATGTCTGTTAAAACTGTATCAAGAGAATGGGTCAGGATTTCCATGATTCTGTTAGTCTGGTGAAGACAATTTTGTTTAAGTAGATTATTTAACCCAAGATCAGTAAAACAAGAATTACCTAGGACTCAATGAACTGCTTTAATTATGGTCACTATTTTATTTTTAATGGTCATATAGGAAGATATTTTCTTTTTAACCTATCTTTAA